GACAACACACACGGTAAGTCTAAAAAGACATCAGTGCTATTGCTGTCATTTGCTTACACCAGTTCGTTTCGGATTCCTACGGTGCTCCATTTGTAAAAATGACAGTTCCTACCCCCTAACCCTCCCCCTAAACCCCCCAGCCCAACCTCACCCTTGCCCCCCCACCCCAGCCCCCCTTCCCGCCTCCCTCCCTACCCCGGTAGTATATGTAGTATGTATATATATATATAGTGAAAATGTGATCTTAGGAGAGAAATGAGAATGAATATTGTGTTTTAGATTGTAAGATCTAAGGGTCAGGATTGCATCAAAATCAGATGAACCAAAATGGTTTTAAAATGCACTATCTCAAAATCTGAGCGCATGATGCATTCTGAGCCACACGATGCATCAGATCCAACGGCTAGATTTTATTCTCATTTCTCTCCACAAGGTGCATTACCACAGGAACTGGCCCCCATATATATACATAGATATATACATACATACATACATATATATATATATACACACACACATGTATATGTAGATGTACATGTACATGTACATGTATATGTACATGTACATGTACATGTACATGTACATGTATATGCATATGCATATGCATATGCATATCCATATCCATATACATATACATATACATATACCATAGTTATCAAGGCGTCGCCTAGGCGACGCTTAGGCGTCTGGGCGAGGCTATATGGACGCCTAGTTGGTCGCCTAGCTTTTTTCTCCCTGGGCAACTTAGTGACTATCTCGGAGACGCATCTACGTTTTAGAAGCACAAGGGAACGCGCGAGATAGAGAGAGAAGACGGAGGAGAAGATAGAATGAAGACTTATCTTTCTCGCCTATCATTTGTCGCGGTCTGTAGAGGCTTCCAGCGGCTCCAGTCTCTGCAGCGGCTCCCTGTGTCTTTCTAACTCTCTATCATCTATCATTTAGACTAGTGGACTAGGTCAAATAACTGGGCTAGGTTCATTAAAAGACTATTGGACCTTTACACAAGAGTATAAGGCCCAAAATTTGATAGGCCTTTTAAAAGCTCCCTTTATTGGAGGAGGCTTTTATATATATATATATATATATATATATATATATATATATATATATATATATATATATATATATATATATATATATATACACTCCATTTCATAAAGGTGGTATCACTGTTCATTTTAATTAATTACATTGTATCATATTATATGCTTTAACATTAGTACCTATAAAAATTTTATGGCCGCCATAACCCACTCGCCCAGCGGACGCCTAGGCGATTGGAAGGTGCTCTAGCGCCCAGCCTCGCCTAGCCGCCGTAACAACTATGACATATACATATACATCTACATATACATATACATATACATATACATATACATATACATATACATATACATATACATATACATATACATATACATATACATATATCCAACAACCAAAGAAAATCAAACTTTGAAGAAAATCTCAGACAACACTTTTCAGATCCGGTTTTGGGAAGATATCCAACAACCAAAGATCTAGATTTTAAAAATTGATTGAACTCTGGCTCGCCGATGAAGACATCCGATCTGCCCGTTGTCGGAGAAGGCATCGAACTCCGGCTACCATCTGACGCTCAAGGAGAGAGAGAGAGAGAGAGATGAACTGATGAAGAAGAAGAGAGAGAAGATGAACTAATGAAGAAGAAGAGAGTCAAGAGACACATGCAAGAGAACGGGAAGTAGGGAAAGATGAGATTTTAAAATGGGCATTTCATATTATTTTTCTTACCTTAATAGAAAAGTGGACAAATATTATGGGACAGCCCAAAAAGAAATACTGGACGAATAATGAGTGACGGAGGGAGTACCATTTTTTCTTCTTCCATTTTTTTCTTTCTTTCTTTTTCTGTTTTTCTCCTTCTTCGTTCTTTTACTTTTTCTTATTCCTTCTTCATCCTTCTTCCGTCATCTCCTTCTCTCTTTACTTTTCTTACTTCTTCCTTCTTCCGTCTTTTTCTTTTTCTTCTTTCTTTTTCCGTCTTCTTCTTCTTCTTTCCTCATTTTTTTCTCTTTTTTCTTCCTTCTTCTTTCGTCAGATAGATTCTTTTTCTGTTTTTTCTTCTTTCTTCTTTCTTTTTTTCCAGATCTGGTTGCATCTTCGCCGGATCTAGATTTGCAGTGGCAATTTTTTTATTTTTTCCAGATCTGTGGTGTGATTTTCTTCCTCAACGAGAAGTCTGGAAATAGATCTTTGTGATGAAGGGGGTCAGCGACAGCGAGGGATTCAGGTTGCGACGGTGAGAGACAGTGAGAGGATGCCAGAGGCTGCGTCGGCGGGGTGCTGCGATGGCGGGGGTTGCAGAAGCATCATTAGCGGTGTAGCGTCGGTGTCTGCAGTGGTAGATGGCTCGTCAGTGGGTGTACACGGTAGAGGATAAGGGGCATAATGGGAAAGTCAAAACAATTTTCATTTTACATAAATTTGCGCACCAAGTCAAAGCGGGAAGTTTAATTTTGGACAAAGCGTTTAAATTTGTGTGCAAATTTATGTAAAATAAAACTTCCCATTGTGTAAGTTTTTGAATCTGCCCTTATAGTTTAGCATTGTAAATTTGAATCTCCCCTTAAGTTTATCGCAGACATTAATATAGGAAACTGAATCCCTTCGTACGTGAGAAATAGGGGATTGGAGATGCTTTGCGTTGGACTCAGATTTAATTGACAAACGCATAATGGAAATGCAAGGAAAGGACGCATATACCCTGGCGGTAAAAGAATCAGGTTGCTAGATCAGACGGTTCTAATTAATTCTTATTTCTTTCACTAGATGTCTTTCTCACTGGAACCAAACTATATATATATATATATATATATATATATATATATATTGATAAATACATTTTGTACTTATTATTTTACTCATATTTAAATGTTTTTGTGTGTAAATGAATTTAATTAAAATAAAAATATTCATTTTCTTTCGTAAATATCTCGAAGTTGTCATTTTGTTTATAAAAAGAGTATTCAAAACAAATTTGGAATTTTCAAACAGAAACTGGTTCAAACGAAGTAAAAACTTGAAAGAAAATAAAACATTTGAGATGTCTAAACTCAAATTCGTCCGTAGCTCTAGAAGAGAAAAATGTTCGGCACAATATATAGAACTTGTCACAGAAATTCGAATCCAAAATTCCTAGGTTGGGCCGGGCGGTCGGGTCGGTTAAGCTCGGGTTCGGGTTGAGTTGCCATCCATATATATATATATATATATATATATATATATATATATATTATATTTATATATATATACACATACATACATACATAAACATGAAAAATAATATTTAATGAAATAATACTTCCTTTATCTATAAATAAAGAATTTATGATGTATTAATGAATTTATAAATTTATAAGCAATTTAATTATTTGAGTAGTAGCATTAAATTGAAACAAATGGATATGTTTTAACAAATAAAAAAATTACTCCGTATAAAATAAGAGGTGATATTTTTTGTTTTATAATTTACACAATATTTTTGAAATATTTAATTGAGTTAATAGTTTTGTGATATAAAGTTCATATAGAATCAATTGCATTAATATTTTACAGTTTGAATCACAGTTTCAACATTATATTTTCAAAATTTTTAAAAATAAAAGTCTTTTAGAATATGTACACTTGTATATTTTTAAGAATGTAATATATAATTAATACTCCCTCCGTCCCGCTATATTCGTCCACTTTTGACTTTTGGAACTGTTCATCTAAGCACTTTGACTCATTAAATTCTCTCAATGTGTAAGCCTAAATATAGTCATGCGTGATCTTGTTTGATTTGTCTTAACATATAGATTATAAATATATAATTTCTATAATTTTTTAATATACAAATTACAAGATAAAATGGATTAAAGAAGTGCATTGGATGATGTGTAAAAATGAAAGTGGACAAATATAGTGGGACGGAGGGAGTAATGTCTTTTTGCAACAAAAGGGATTGTAGCATGGATGGTATATAGCGTAACAAGAGAGCAATAGGTTGTGTGTTCGACACCCCATTAGTCACAATTTTTTTTGAGATACTTGTGCAAAAAAAAAAAATGATCACTGGTCAAACCGGCCGGTTCTTACCGCTTCCTGCCGGTTCGAGCCGGTTTGGTGCACATGCCGGTCTTTGGGGCTGGACCGGTTTGGCTCCCGGTACGCCGGTTCCCGGTCCGAACCGGCCAGTCCGATTTTTAAAACTATGTTTTTTTACTCTCTGTACACGTAAATGCACGGTCCTCAAGAGCCTACTCTTATAGGGATTATTTGGTGTTATGTGATAAATAGTGCAACACGCACACAAATGAGTGCATGCATGCATACAGCATACTCACAAAACTCGTGGATGCACTTTAGTATTCCTTTCGTTCCACAAAACCCTTCCGGTTTTGACTTTAGGAAAAAATAAGGAAAGTGTAATTTTGATTGACTTTCCAATTTTGCTCCTGATGTGATGAGAAAAAGTAAGATGTGATAGTTTGGTTATTAGTGAAAAAGTATGATGTGATAGATATGGTATGAAAAAATAGGGGTAAAAGTGGTTTTTTAATAGAAAGTGGAAGTATTTTGTGGAAAGCAAAAAAAACGAAAGAGGAAGAGTTTTGTAGAACGGAGGGAGTAGTATTTTTAGTTCTTCGAGGACCCTAAGCAAAAAATTAATTACGGACCTTTTTATTTTAGTGAGTATTGATATGTAAAATACTACAACAATTCATTTGAATCCCACGAGAGTAAAGTGTGAGGAGGTGTGTGTACGCAAACATTTCGCACACATTGAGAGGGCAATAATAATAATAATAATAATAATAATAATAATAATAATAATAATAATAATAATAATAATAATAATAATAACAATAATAATAGTTACAATAACAATAATAATAATAATAATAATAATAATAATAATAATAATAATAATAATAATAATAATAATAATAATAATAGGTAGGTAAGATAAATGCAACTTGAACAAGATTGGGCTTTTTGAATCTTGAATCTTTGGCATGCATTAAAACGGAGTAATTACTAATATGCTTCCTCCGTATATGTTTAAAAAAAATTGGGAGCCCTAGGCCAGAAAAATGGACTATTTGGGAGGGGGGTGCACTAGGATGCATACTGATGTTGATCCATGTCAAAGGAATGAAGAACCTCTAGCAAAGAATTTCGTCTTTCCGGGGCCAGTGGATTTTCTAATCCATCGGAATGAGCTATATTCAAAAGATAGAGTTTGTTTGATGAGACGAAAGCAGCAGCAAATATCCTCTTCATCCCTCCCCTACTGCTATCAATTTTGTACTCAAACTCATAAACTTCAATGCCTCCTTTCCCAGACCTCCTTTCAGACACTGCAACCATTTCTGCTTCTTTTGTGCTTTCCTGGTACACAAACAAATAACCAAGAATTGAAGCAATGTCATAAAAAGCACGTACAATTCAAGATTTAGAAGCAGGTTCATCATCATCATCATGTCCTAAAGCTCAACTCGTAGGGGTCAGTTGCATGAAATTCTCACTGTCAATTTAGTATCTGAAATTAGCTACTTAACATGATAAGTTCATACCCAAAGAAACAATGATAAAGTGAAGACAATAAATGATGATGTACCCCATCCATAGTTATTTGTGTCGTCGATGTTCAAATGAAATGCATCACATGCCCCGTCTACTATCATCCTTTTCATCTCTATAGATCAAAAAATCAATGATAAATTCACTCAAAGAAATTAAATTCGTAAATTAAAATTGCTGCCCCTTTTTTGTAGAAAATCTTCCATATATGGAATAATTTTGAATGCTAAAACTACCATTTGAGATAAATATACTCTGTCATAGTGTATTCATTCACCCTTAACCTTTTTTATCATTAGCTAAATAGAAATGCATGTCATATTAATATAATATTATTCCCTGCATCCCATAGTTATCTTCCTTCTTTCCTATTTGGGTTGTCCCAAAAGAAATCTCTTTCCTTTTAAGGAAAAAAATATGTGGTCCATATCAACTCTCTTTCCTTTATACAAACCACAACCACCCACATTCCACTTTATAAAAAATCGTACCAAGTCAAACCCGGAAGATAATTCCGAATAGATGCTGGTTAGTGTAAGCATTGCCGCCCACCCTAGAGTGGCAAAGGCATTGGAGAGAGGGAGCATTATATTTTTAAGGTCTTTTGCAAGACAAATCTAATGAACTTAAATTTGTATTAATATGCAATTCACTTATTATATATTTGATGATCAAAGTTTATTTAGTTTGACTGAAATAAAAAGAAGAATGGATACTCAAGAACGGATGAAAAAACCAAAGTTCATTATGAACTCATGCGCGATTGAGACTTGCATATATTTGTCTCAACTCTAGATGTTTTTATCCTCAATTAGCTAACAATAATGAATAAGCATATCATCGCAATAAGATAACTAATAAACAGAAATTCCAAAGCTAAGGTGATAAACTTTAAATTGACATATACTTCGTATCTTGTTACTAAATATACTAAAGCTGCATTCTCTTCCTATGATTTGAATTTTTTAAGGCCGGTGTGATCTGATATAAATGTTGTGTTTTTTAAAGTTGTTGAACTAATCTGATATGGTCTGATATGATTACGATAAATATAAGTAATAAGTAGAAAAAATAAGTTGAAGAGAACGGGACCTAAGTTTAAGCTAACAAGAATAATGTCTACGGTACTTTGCGTTTTAACTACAACACCCCATAGTTAGCACAATAATAAGAACTTGAAAAATAAATAATAGAAAAGTTTGTAACTTTTCATTTACGATCTTTGACTGGAATGATTCTTAATTCAACTTATTTAAGTATTAATGAAAACTTTAAAAATAAGATTTATATACCAATATGTAGAAATTATATCGAAAGTTTTGCAAAGTAAGAGATCACTTGACTTTTTTATTTAAATGAATAATAAATGAAAATACATTAGTACAAAATAATGATTTAACCATGTAAACATAAAATGTGAAAATCATTTACTGAGTAAAAAATGACTCGAACAAGGATAACCATACGCCAAAGCAGAGGCGGACCCACCTTGAGTCCTATGGGGTCCCAGGACCCCACGGACTCCGGGGTAGGTCCATATAGGTATTAGGTATGTATAGATATTAATATATAAAAAACGCTTGTCAAATACGCAATAAAAGCCCGTTTGGTTCAGCGGAAGAGTTCACAGGCGTGCCTATCCCCTTCTCCACTAGACGGAGGTTCGACTCCCAGTCTAGTGACTTTTTAGAGTAAATTTTTTTCTTCTTTGGAGTCAATTTTTTTTGTAACTTTTTAGAGTAAATTTTTTTCTTCTTTGGAGTCAATTTTTTTTTGTAATTAGCATCAAAATGATGTCATTTTCCCTCCCCTTTTCTTTGTAAATTTCTCCTCTCTTCTCTAGTTCCCCAATTCTTTATTTTACACTTTTAATTTTGATTTTGGAGTTAATTTTTTTCTTTTTTAGAGTCAAATTTTTTCGTAATTAGCATCAAAACGATGCCATTTTCCCTCCCTTTTCTCTGTAAATTTCTCCTCTCTTCCCCAGTTCCCAAATTCTTTATTTTACACTTTTAATTTTGATTTTGGAGTCAATTTTTGTCGTAATTAGCATCAAAACGACATCATTTTCCCTCCCCTTTTCTATGTAAATTTCTCCTCTCTTCCCTAGTTCACCAATTCTTTATTTTACACTTTTAATATATGAATATATGATTAGTATTTAGTACTTCCTCCGTCCCAAAAAGTTTGTTACGTTTAGAAAAAATTGCGTCCCGTAAAGTCCGTTACATTTCTATTAAAAAACCACTTTTACCCCTTACTTTTTCATACCTTACCTATCACATCATACCTTTTTTCCTAATAATCTACCAATCACATCCTATTTTTACCCATCACATCAAGGGTATTTTTGGAAAGTCAATACCAAAATATCCCTCCCTTAATTTCCCAAAAAGTCAAACCGTCCCATTCTTTTTGGGACGGAGGGAGTAATATATAATAATTTACACATTAAAGAATCAAAGATTTTTCTTCAATAAAAAATTGATTTAGGATGGCTAGTGATAAATATTATTGTATTATTGTTCATTTTATGTCTAATTTACAGAATTTAAAATTCAAAGGTATTTCAAAAAGCTAGCCAAATTCAAAGATTCGGAGTCGAGTGGAATTGGTATGACTTTATTTATATGTATTCAAAAAGCTAGCCAAATTCAAATTCAAATTACGATATTGTTTTCGTATGATGAAGAATGAGTATTTTCATTAAATAAATTGTGAGGAGAGTACATGTATATATACACAAGTCTCAATCCTAATTAAGGTAGGAGAGACACAATAGGAAACCTATACAAATATGGTAACAATAATAATACAATAATATTAAATATAATATATATATTTAACATGCTCCCGGCTACGTCGGCAGTGCTGGGGTCGGATACCCAGGCTTTCTCTGAAGTCAAGAAATAATTGTGAGGGCAGTCCCTTTGTGAAGATATCAGCAAACTGAGAAGAGGACGGAACATGCAGGACTCTGATCTGACCGAGCGCCACCTTATCACGCACAAAGTGTATGTCAACCTCGACGTGCTTGGTGCGCTGATGCTGCACCGGGTTTGACGAAAGGTAGACCACACTGACATTATCACAAAAGACAAGTGTGGCGCGATGGAGTGGCTGCTGGAGCTCAAGGAGGAGGTTTCGGATCCAGCTGGTTTCTGCAACAGCATTCGCTACAGCCCGGTATTCGGCCTCGGCACTGGAGCGAGAAGTAGTGGCCTGGCGCTTAGACGACCATGAGACAAGGTTGTCGCCGAGGAAAACGCAGTAGCCCGAAGTGGAACGTCTGGTGTCAGGACAGCCAGCCCAATCGGCGTTTGAATAAGCCTGTAGGTAGTCGGTGGCGGATCGTGTCAAGTAAATGCCATGAGTGGCGGTGCCACTGAGATACTGGAGAACACGCTTCATGGCTGTGAAGTGAGCGTCGTGGGGGGCATGGAGGTGGAGGCAGAGCTGCTGGACTGCATATGTGATATCAGGACGAGTGAATGTGAGGTACTGCAGCGCGCCAACAATGGATCGGTAAAGTGAGGGGTCGGAGAGCGCCATACCAGCTGACGCAGATAGCTTTGCCTTTGTATCCACCGGGGTTGAGATGGGCCGACAAGAAACCATCCCTGCCCTCTCAAGGATGTCGTGCGTGAACTGAGTCTGGTGGAGGAACAGGCCAGAAGCTGTGCGATGAACATTGATCCCGAGGAAAAAGTGCAGATCGCCCATATCAGTCATGGAGAACTCAGCCTTGAGCTGCTGAATGAGACTCTGTAGAAGTGCTGGAGAGGATGCTGTGAGAACTATATCATCCACATAAAGTAGTAGATAGGCCGTGCCCATGGGCTGAGAGAAGACAAAGAGAGAAGTGTCGGCCTTACATCCTCTAAAGCCAATAGTCTGTATGAAGCCAGCAAACCTGTGAAACCATGATCGGGGTGCTTGCTTGAGACCATATAAAGCCTTCTTGAGCTTGCACACATAGTGAGGGCGAGTGGGATCCTGAAACCCAGAAGGCTGACAGGCATAGACGGTCTCCTGTAGCTGGCCGTGAAGGAACGCATTCTTGACATCAAGCTGATGAATGGGCCAACCTCGAGACAGAGCAAGACTGAGGACAACACGAACAGTGGCAGGCTTGACAACGGGGCTGAAAGTCTCGTCATAATCAACGCCAAAACGTTGGTTGAAACCACGAACCACCCAGCGGGCTTTGTACCTGGATAACTCACCGGTTGGGCCAAATTTATGTCTAAAGAGCCATTTACCGGTGATGAGATTTTGTGAGGGGGAGGGGGGTACTAATTCCCATGTGTCATTCTTTATCAAGGCATTATATTCATCACACATAGCAGCATGCCAGTT